GATCAACATGTATTGTAAAATATAAACAAGATCCTTGAAGAAACAATTAAAAAAATATATATATATTCCAGTTCTTCATAAATTTGTTGAATTTTCTTAATAGTAAAACAACAAATAATACTTCGAATGTAACATTTCTCTAACGTAGAAAGGACAAAATATTTTATCTGTACACAAATGAATTACTCATTATTGAAAGTGCACAATTTCACGAATCAATCTTTTTGGAAAACAAGAAATAGTCTATATATTCAAAAGAAAATTATAATACTACTAAATCGTAATTATATATGTGTTTAAAAGCCTTAGCTACAAATGAAAAGCAATAGGAATAGGCAATAGGAACAAGGAAAAATCTATCAAAAATAGTATATTCTAATATACGATTTCTGATAGGTTGAAATCTGATATTTCTTATTGCTTGTGTTTTTCAATTATGTCTTAGATATTATTTTAATCTCGATTCAATTAACTCTTTATATTTTTCTAGTTCTAAGAATTAGTCGAAATAAAAAGTCGAATTAAGATTAAAAAAAATTAATCTATATTGGTAGAAATGAGCATTAGTGATACAGATCAACATAAATCGTTCTATCTTGCTCGACATTCTTTGAGAAACAAAGAATAATAGTTGTATTACTAAATAGAAAAAAAATCTTAAAAAACAAGCACCGAAATCACGGAGTCGCTACAGACACTTTTCATGTTTACTTGTAAAACAAAATATATACCTACATCTTGAATAGCAAGTCATCGCTCGTTTTATCTATATTTTCCCTCTACATTTTTAAATCCCACAATACAATGAACATTTAAATGTTTAACATGACAAAAAATATCTTTTTTTGAATTGCGCATTTTAATGATTAAACAATATTATTTTTACGTTTTAAAGAACGGAATGCATTATGCAATAGGTGTAACTAATGATAAAATTAACACAGTACCAATATGTCTACATGTAATGTGATCAGATAACATTTCTATCTCTTACTCCGCCTAGATAATAAATTCTGTATTATGCCTCGACTTGAAGCAATTCGGAGCATTCGTCAGGTGGGGGCATATAGAACAAAGGGGGAGAGGAAAAGGAAAAGGAAACCTACCGCTGTAACATAAGGCAGCCATGGTAATTGCGTGTGGTTTGGTGTTTTCCTTGTTAAAGAGATGGGAGGAAAGAGATCAGGTGGGAGTGTATATCTAGTGTAACTGGTTGGGAAGGGCCGATGATTCCAATACGATCGTTCTTTCAGTAGCGCCAACGTAGCGTGCCGTAGCTCGTACGAAGACGTAAAAGAACGTGCGATCCTCCCACGTATAATCGCAACAAATCGGTCAATATTCAACGTCTTTTCACGAGCTTCTGGGAATTGACAATGATCTCTCGGTTCCACGTGTACCGATATGCGAACTGCATGCTATTATATAACATTAGCACGCTCCACCATCGAGACGACGGATCGTTTTCACGGATCAACTTTAATGATGCCAGTCTCGTAGGATTACCGGCGCCAAGCCACTGTTCCTTTCCCAGGGCACCCGCGTGCGGTTGTGCCCATGCACTAACAAACAAATGTCGCTGCCGTAAATCTCCGACGGATCAGTAAAGAGTTAAATCGTCGCCGGATTTCAGATGTATCTCCACAAATGTTTCGCTGTAGTTCGTCCTGTGCTTCCCTTGCACCTCCTTCTTATGACGATGCTCAGCAAACTCGCTTGATATCCTGTTGTTTCTGTACCAGTGAACGCTCAGAGATTCCGCTTCCAAAATACTACGCGAGGTGGTATTTTGCGCAGAGCGGTGCGCAGCCACGTGTTTGCGTTGACGAGCGTCCGATGTCACGTCCGGCAAATTTCACAGCAGCTTTTTAATTCTTATCAGGTGCAGGTCGTTTCTTCTTTCTTTGTTTTCCTTGGTGGTGCTATGAGATATGTATTACAAGGAACGTGAGAAAATCTGACGTTTTACTCTCCGTGGAATTTTCCGGCGATTTGCGCGGGAAAACTGATAAGAGATCTTGAGATGTTTTTGCAGAAATCGATAAGCGGCAGTCGAGATATCAGACAATGATATGCAGAAGACACTGATAAGAGATCAAGATGTTGCGGTCTCTGTAGACGACAGTTAATTAAGCACTGATGTAGCACGACGGATGGCGATCGTGCAAATTGGACTTCGATGGCCTGTATACTGGCGAGAAACCGCTCCTGCTTATCTTTGGACTTTCCCCTCTGTCTCCTCTATTCCCTCCTCTCAATCTCGTACTGAC